GCGTCATGTAAGGCCTGAGAAGCACTCTCTACCAAAAATTTCTCCATACTCAGGGCTCGAACTCGATACTTGTAAACTCAACATCAACTATATATTCAATTCTAGTCCAATGAATTCGTCTGACGTACCTATTTTTTTTATTCGTTAAAATCAATTTTTTTTTGCATTTTTTAATGCTATTTACGAGATGTATTCTTTCTTTTATAAATACTAGACTAGATTTATTTCATGAATAAGAAAAGTAGCACATTTAATAATTATTTTTACTTAGAAAACTAGTGTATAAATAATAAAAAGTATCTATTTGACCATAATGTAGTAAACCAACTGTAAAAAAAGAAAAGATTAGAATAATGACGACTAGAAATGGTCAAACTAAGATCATTTTGGGCATTTTAATAATCAACTAGAGAGACAAAATGAGGTGGTTTCCAAGAGTCCAAATAAAAATGGAACAAGATAATGTTTGGTTTCTTGTGATTTGTGGGACTAATGTTCGTAATATTATGATAATTCAAAGTAAACATTATTTCATTCCAACCCATCACCAACTAATCGTACACTTCTCATTTATATAACTTATATTTGAACAATTATTTATCATCAAGTTTGCTGCCCAAATGATGTTTCGCTTCTATTTGGTTAATATCTCACACTAGCTAGGTTGGTTCACCTAAAATACGTTTAACAACATCAATATTCGAAACTTTGATCATACATAATTGAATTTATTTAGTGTAAAGTTAATGAAAAAAAGCAACATTAGGAGAAAAAAAGAGAGAAATATGTGATAAAAGATCATTTGCATGTAAGAGACTCTATTAAAGGAGGTATTAACAAAAAGTGATAAAGTATAGAGATAGTCCAAAATTGAGAACAAGTCAAAATGAATTTATGCAATTGAATTACAAGAAAAAAAATGTTTAATTACCTATATACTAGGCTAATAAATATAAATATTTTCCTAACTAACTTCAACTAATATCAGTTCTTCGACCCTTTTACTTCACTGCCTTGTGGACTCGATGACAATTGCCTCAACGCTAATTCAATTAACAGTAAAATGCACACTTTACATAACATATCTAAGATTTATATTTTGTTCGAGCTGAAATATGAAAATATAAAAAATCGTTAAAGATAAATTATTTGAAACTCTGAATTGTTTATTATAATTAGTATCCACCCAAATATTTTTTTAGGTTGCAATAATTGATACTGACAATATTTTTACTTGTTTGTTGGAGCATTTCAAGAAAACTTTAAGTTGGGTTAAACAAAAGAAGTAAAGATAAAGAAAGGGGGAAAAAGAGGCAATGCAATTTGCAAACTTGGGAAGGAATTAGATTGCTTATAGAAAAACCAAAACAGGCCAACTTCATAGTCCATTCAATTTAGTCAATCCCACATCATCTTTTAACATGGGCATGTCCAATTAGTTTTTTTTTTTCCGGCCGATCTGATACCTACATTGAAGCTTATATTAAGTTTTGGTGTGACACTAAAAAGTCCCACATTAAGAGTAAAACATGACTCCATCCCCAAAGAAACTCGAATATGAGACTATTGATTAAAAATGAATGAATACTTACCACTCTACCATAATTCCGTTGATATTTCCAATTAGTTTAGTCATACACTTGTACTTTTGGCTGTCTTAATAAAGACTAGTGCACCTTTTATGACTTCTATGAACGGGAACTTGTGTGGTCCTTTGCACTTTGGTCAGAACTAGTCATCATTTTGATGAGAGGTGGGTAAGTGAAAAAGAAATTCCATTTTAATTAATTTATTTTATTTTAATTTAATACGAAATTTTAATTTTTTTATGGTAGTAAATCATTTTTTACTTATTTGAATGTTAGCGTTTGATCATAATTTTTTTTAAACTCAACTTGATAATTGTATTTTAAATTTGTAAATCAAGTTATATCCTATTTTTCATTTCACTTTTCATTTTTGAAGTTGTATTAAAATATGTTATTTAAGTATGTATATTTTTTCTAATATAATTTCCAAAAGATATAATCAAACACAATTTCATTTCTAACTCCAACTCCAACTCCAAATTTTTTAAATAAAGTAAAAATTATTTGAAATCAATGGCCAAACGTACGCCTACTTAGATTTGAAGGGCGTAGTTAACAAGAAAAGATAAAAATTTAATGAATTTTTAGCCTAAAAATCATTAGTTCTGACCTCTTTAACACAAGGATTTATTAATTTGTTGGTCAGATATCTATCTCTGGATGGACCATAATGCAAACAGACTGATAATTCTGAATTACAACAAAAGAATAAATAAAGAAATGGATTACTCTACCCCTAGCTCTATTCTATTGTAGATTCCTAAATTTCTTTGTTAAGTATGAGTAATTATTTGCCGCTTTATTGGTTACCGAAAGGTTCCAACTATTTTTATTTTATTTTTTTGAACGATGAAACTGATCTTTTCTTAATTAATTTTTTTGACTTAGAATCTTAAATGTTGAAAAATTCTTGATCGGATGGCTATTTTCGAATGAGCCGTACGGATATGATTCAATTCCAATGCGAATTTCGAACTCGAAAAAAAAAAACAAAGAACTATGCATGTAGACAAAGAGCAAGTTTGCTATCCCACAAATATTCTTATTCCTTTCGTGCTAATGGGGTGCCCATGTTTTAAAAATATTTTTTTGACAATTATTACGGTGCAACTCCCCCACGACCCTTTTGTTACTTTATGTACATGCATCCGTTTTAAAAATAAATACTGCTTAGCAAAATAAATAAATAAACAAATCCCAAAATAAGAGTTCGTTCTACAAATTTAAGACAAAAATAATAGAATAATTAATTGTTTTCAATTATATCTCCATATTAAAAAACTATTGTTTTTGCTCAATTCTCATGAAACATCTAATAAATAGAGATAACATAATAAACTATACTTTATATTTATTATTTTTCAATGAACATGAGATGAGCAAAACAATACTTATTTTTGAGACAAATGGGAGTATTTATTAACAAGAAATGAAGTATCTCTTTTCATGAGTCCGTTGCGTTTTAGAATACTTGTCAAGTATACTAAACTCAAGTGTCTATTTTTATTGGTTCAATTTTAAAAATCAAAAGATAATTTATTATTTTATCCTTATTATTAATGCTTTAATTAATTTAAATTCAAATTCGTTTTGCAAGACTTATAAAAATTAAGATGGTATAGTAAAATTTAATTTTATTATTACTTGAGAAGAATATGTTAAGTCAAGCGGAACTGGATCCCATGTCGTAATTTTTGGTGACTAATAATAATTGAATCTAAATTAGGGTTGCAATGAATTATTATTGGAGTTGATATTTCAAATCCAAATGTTATCTTGCGTGGTGAGCCAAATATGTATGAAGCATATAAACCTATTGCTATGAATTTGAAATCCAATCTCCTCTATCCAAACAAGCCTTGAATTGCTTATATTTACCATATCATTGAACTGAAAAATTAATTAAAATTAACTTAGAAACCACGGTGCATATGATTATATACATATTTTCTAGGTATTGTTTGCTAAAAGGTTTCATTGAAATCATATACTACACAAGATCAGATGGACAAACACAACGAAGAAAATGAAAGCCCAGTTAAATAATTATGATTCTATTACTCAGCCCAAGGAGTGGTATCACGACTAAAACATCTTTGCAAATGAGGTGATTTTCTAGTGATTACGATTAACAAAATGTCAGTACAACCCAAAGGGTAGAGGTTGTGGGTTGCTCTGAGAGTTCCAAGAAAAAAAAATGTTTGTGCATTAGGAGGCCTCGTAATAGTGGTTAAGATTAACCTATTGGACATGTTTAGTTCTAGAGTTCACCCAGCAAAAATCTTTTTTTTTTTCAAAAAAAAGGTTCCTTGAAAAGAAGAAGGAAAAACCAGTGAACCAACAATAAATTCATAGATGAACTTGAATAAGTTGATTGGAGTTCCGTTGATAGAAAAAAGAGAGTAGAAGTGAAATTAATAACCTAAAAGATTAAAAAATAGGCTACCAGAAAGTGATTTCTTTATGAAAAATAGTTTCTTATAATCATTACTAAACACACCCAAAGTGGGATCTTATTATCTTCATAGGAGGACTTTATGTTGGAAACTTTATATTTAAATTTTTTTTAATCTTTCAATCTGTGTTGGAAACTAGGCCATGATTTTCCATTTTACTACTTCACTCCATCCTATTTTATGTGGCAACATTTGACCGGGCACGGAATTTAAGAAATAAATGAAGACTTTGAAATGTTTACCAAATTGCCCTTTAAAAAGTTGACTCTTTTTTTTCTCTCCTCATAAATGTATTGGTGTATTATTTTAAGATTAAATAGGACCAAGAAGGATAAAAGAGGAATTGTACCTTTATAAACTTACCATATAAGGAAATGTGACATTCTTTTTGAGACCGACCAAAAAGGAAATGGTGCCACAGAAAATGGGATGAAGGGAGTAATAATTTTGAAATCTAATTCATACCGAGTACTGCACCACTTCCAGTTGTATGCGAACTTGCATCTGTCCAATAAACTGTAGGGGACCAAAAAAAAAATGGACCGAGACAGCATATTCGATTAAAGGCACGAATATACTCCATTATTTATTAATGATTAAATGATAAATTGAAGTAATTATAGATATAGCTAAAGTAACAAATAAGTAATACATAAAAACAGAGTCATTGAGTAAAAGGTAAATATCACATAAAAATAATTCCACCACCCACGCAAAATCCTCTCCATCACACAATTTGATTCTTATATTCGCATTCCACTACCAGTCTACCACTAGTCAAAGAGAACTTTTTTTCCCCTTTGTTCAATAAAGTAGACATAGCTGACCTAGAAATATCTCACAACACATTGGATAGGCAAAATTGAAAATCAATAAAAGACCAACTTCCAATTCAATCAAGGATCATTTGCTATCCCACAACAATAAAACTATATAATGTAGAAAAAGTGCAGGCACTGGTTACAACAAGTACCCAAGGTTTAGAAGAAACAGAGACATAAATAAGCAAAAAGGACCAAATATTAAAACTACATGAAACATAAACTCCAATGCAAAACTTCTAGCAGAAGCACTCCACCAGACATCTAGCACTTGATCTCCTTCAAGCCAGGTGCAAGGTACAAAAAGGTAGGATCAGCTGAACCATCTTTGTAGTACGCAAACACCAGGGCACTGTCGTCACTCATGCTCTCACCAACAAAGCTGCCAGCACACACACACAGTATCAGTTTCTATTTCAAGGGGCCGAGTATGTAGAAGGAAAACAAAACAGATTCAACTTCAGTAAGAATTAGCTTAGACAATGTCATAAACTGATTAAGAGTGAAAATGAACATACAATTGAAAGTCCTTGAGCTTTGGCAAAAGGAACTTAGTTGCTGATTCAATGTTCTTTTTAAATGCATCTTGTGCTTCTCCTTCTAGCTTGGGCGTCAGGTTCTTGATGTATTTCTTAATGAAGGCAACAAATTGTTTCTTGTCGAAAGCAGGTTGCTCCTGCAAATAGCAAACCGTTATCTATTCACATATAATTAACATGCATATTAAAATCGACTGAAATTTCCATAACTATGTATACAAACCTGAAGTCTAAAAGTGTCAACAATATCGACAACCTTGACAGCTTGATCATCCACGCCTTCATCTTCACCTCCACCCTCAGCAGAAGGATTTGCCCCAATGTTCACATCAACGGCACCTTGAACAACCCACTGTAATGTAACCAACACACCACATTATTTCTTTTTACATAGACTAGTTAGCCCACCAAAATTTGGTTGCTAATATATGGAAATTTGGGAGCAATAATTAACTGGAGACCCTACCTTCCCTTGAACTTCCCAAAGCATTCCATTCTCGATTTCTTTGTAGGGAAATGAGTCTGAGAGAAGCTCATCACCTGCAATATGTTTTCAAGTGTTTTAAATTTCAAAAGTAGCAACATATCATAAAGGGGCCATATATGAAAACCAAAAATTCCTACAAGCTGAATGTCCTCTTTCAAAGTCTGTAATCCAAATCGCGGAGATATATAGGAAACCATTGAGATTGAGTGCAGAAAGCAAGGTAAAACTCGACAGTTTGTCCAAAACCACAGTAACAGCACTTTAGAAACTAGGGACTTGTGCATATAAAGAAACTCAGAGGTGCACCAAACAACCAATAATATAGCTAACCAATAGAAGAATCAAAGATCAAACAGAAAAAAGAAGAAGAAAGAAGCCTGCATACTCTAATTTTCTTTATGATTACCGTAGCCCAGATAAAATATAAGATGTTCAAATTGATACTGAAATTACTAGAATCCACTGCCTTCAATTTTTATTTTTTTTTGCAGATCTACGGAGCTTGCGCAAGAACATATCTTTTAATGTTTGTTACATAAAATTGACAAAATTTGCACTATAAACAGATAGGTAGAGTAAATTAAGTGTTGCTCACAGCTCACACAAGAAACAACAAAATTTAAGATCTCGTGGATCCAAATCACTCATACACATTATTCAGGATCACAGGTAAAGATTTTGGGGCTTAAATCGCCTAAGATTGGGTTGAAACATAAAATCCAGATTAGATCCAGTTCCATAATTCCCCAATAATCAATAAATAAAAAAAGAGGAAGCGTTAAGAGCTTAGGACCTCGGGAAATCATTTAGAAACACCAGCTAAATCAACCAGATCTTATCAAGCATTAAAGAAACAAAAATTCATACAAAATTTCATTATCTTTAGAAAAAAAAACTGACTCATCAATATCAGATACAAGCCAACAAAACAATACTATCCGAAACAAACTCAAGATCATAAATTTTCAACCAAAAAATTAATACAAAACATAAGCAAGAGAATGACGGAAAACGATAACCAGAAAAAAAATATATAAAAAAAAAGCTCAAAACAGAACCAGACATTCTATAAAAGTAAAGAAACACAAAGATTAAAAAGTACCAGTGAGGAGATCTTGATAAACCAACATGATGGCAGATTAACCTTTTGCTTTCTCTCTCTCAAAGGGAAGAGGAGTACAATAAGAAGAGAGAGGAAGAAAAAAGACGTCTAATGAAGGCTCGAGAGCGTTGCACGGGTATTTATAACCGGAGAATTCGGGATTGCTGTAACAGAGTGGGATTTGGAATTTATAATCTAAAATAAACCGACTTAAATTTCAAAATTACGTAGTTACATAACCCATTTTTTGTAGGGTTCGGCCGCCGCAGTCCGCACCAGGGTGGATTAAAATTACCTTGATTAAGAGCCCGTTTACATGGCGGTTGGAAGGTAAAAAAATGTCTCTAAAAATATTTTTTTTTAAAAATTTAGTGTTTGACAAATTTTTAAAATTGCTTTTAAATGAAACAGAAATATTTTTTCTGCCGTTCGGAATGTTGATAAGAAGCTAAAAAATTTTGCTTCTTGAAAAGATAAAAAATAGAAAATTATATTTTTGAAGACTAAAATATCTCTTCCACATATTTATCAATATATCACTTATTAATTAATTAACATATCTCATAAGTTTGGTTAAGTTTCATTCAAGAATTCTACTTTTTATATAATAAAATTTTATTTTATTTTATGTTTATATATTATTATTTTATATTTTATATATTATTTTACATTTTCTTTTACTAAATTAGAAACAAACGTAATAACGATTTTTTTTATAGGATTAAAAATATGAAGAACTTTATTTATTTTTGTGGTGAATTTTTCATATATAGTGGTTTAATTTGTGGAATGATTTTTAAATTTGTTTTGCTTGATATTTTTAATTATATTAAATCATCATGTTAATATTATATTAATATTTTATTTATTTATTTATGTATAATATTAATTGAAAATTTAAATATGTATATTTTAATTTTAAAAAATTGCAATATATATTTAAAATAGTTTCTCTCTATAAAATAAATTAAAGTACGTTGACACTTACCCCTTTTTTGTAATTTGACTCTCAAAAACACCTTTTTTTAAAAATTAGCCAAACACAATTTCTTATCAAAATCACTTTTCAAATGAATTAGCCAAATACAAATTGCACCTTTTTTAAAAATCATTTTAAAATAGTACTTCTAAAAATAAACAGTTTTTAACAGTAATGCCAAACATTAAAAGTAGGAGATAAGTATCAAAAACACACTTAAATTATTTTCTATTTTTGAGTTTCATACTTAAAATATTGGAATTATGAGTATCATACAAAATTATCACTTGTTAATTTGAGAAACACACCTCAATAATGTGTGTAATGCACTCTCTCTTTTATTTAATCGGAAAAATTCTATTTATTAAATCACTCAATTTATTTAATTAATTTTTTCAATTAAAATTTGTTAATATAGACTTTTTATTTAAAATCAAAATTCTAAGAAGTAAAAAGATATTTATTTCTAAGAATCATCACAAAATTTAAATCAACAGTAACAAAAACCCATAAATCAAAATCAATCTTCAGATAGACTAGACAAAAACCCATAAATCTAATAAAATAAAAAAAAAATTTGATTCTAAATAAATACTTATATCTAACAAATTTTAATATAAAAATCAACTAAATAGATTGAGTGATTTGTATATAAAACATTGTTGAGTAGATTTTGAGTTTAAAATTGAGTGACTTATTGAGAGAGAAAAGCATAGTTAAATGATTTTTGAATTAAAAATAAAAAATATAAAGACTTTCTGAAAGAAAACTTCATAATCAAGAGAACGACTGATTCATTATGATATCTATTAGTGAGGTTTCCATTTTGCGAGGGAATTCATGTTCAGGTCCTTATATATATGTAGAGGCGAACCCACGATTTGAAGACAAAGGGTGCACCATTAATACACGTCAGTTAAAATATGTCACCCAATGATGATTCGTATGATAATTTTACTAAACATAAAAATATAAAACTAATATAATAATGTATAAATATGAATTGAATTGAATCTATTACATATAAATTGCTTTGAGGAGTGGTGGTTTTGAAGTTCATTTTGCAGCATGAGGTCTAAGTTTAAAACTAGCCATCCACTTTTTTAATTCAATATTTTTAAATTTTTGTAATGTTTAAATCAACGCACCTAAATAGTTTTTGTATCTTTGAGTGCCTAATAAAATATATATCATAGCTCAACGTGTGTATATATATATAAAAAATTTTTGAAGTTAATGGGTGTATGTGCACCATCTTCATGAATGAGTGCTTGGTGCGGTAGGTGAAAAATGAGAGAATGTGAATTGGAATTATTATTAAAAAAAAACTAAAAAATGCAAAAAATATTCTTGAACTATACGAACTAGATTTTTCTTTAATTGTATAAAAACAATTTTGATTCTCTTTCACACAAATAATAATAATAATTATATTTATATACTTTTATAAAATGACAAATCCCCTAAATGAAATGTTAATCAACTTATTAAGTACCGGGCCATAAGCCTGGATGAGGCGGATAAGAACCGTAGGAAGATGTATTTTACAGATGGATCATAACACATGATATAGCATGTGATTTGTGAACAAGCGATATAACTGACAAAAAATTGTTTATACAGAGATGAAGGCCAATCTGCCTAATTGAAACACATGTCTAATGTGACAACTGACATTATCTTACTAAAATATGAAACTATACAACCATCATATGGGTGGGATAGATCTTGATATACCCATACTTTGTAAGCATATGTACAATAAAATAGCACTAGACACAGTTTAAGTCCAGGTAGAAGTAGAGCTCACCGACTATACAAGTATATATACAACATGTACTCGTATATCTGATAGAATAACATATGACGAGCACATGTAAGATATGATACCATAACTCTCATGTCTTTCTTAGCTCGTTATACACATGTCTTAAGATTGTTCATTAAAAAGTAGGCACATGATATATTATTAATATTATTATTGCCTTTGGATTCTTGTGTCTTATATAGATTCAACTGACCAACTGAATAATTAATTCTCGAGGGCAATATTGATACATGAATTTTGATACATTGCTAACCAATCACTTATGAATGTCAATTGCATATGCAACCAATCTCATAACACCTGTTGTACACGAGGGGGCTTAAACACATGAGGGTCGGCTCTGCTGTATCAGGCATAAAACAAGTGAGAGTCACCAAAACCAATCTTGTGCACGAGAACACATTAATCAAATGATAAGTGAACACGTGACCACCTCTCTTTGGTCGATTGAGCCTCTCTAGCATTCTTTGACCTAGACTTCATTCATCCATCTAAGGGAGATATGTGGGCGTGCCTCGGCAGAAAAATAAATTTTAGTCTTACATACCTTGATTCCCCAATTCATATAATTATGAAGCATCGACCTTTCCTTTTAGGCATCCATTTTTTTCAACAACAAATGACAAGTAAAGAAGCTATATTAGCAACTAATCAACAAGTTCAGGTCGTATCAAATATATGTTAAAACCTAGATGAGCGACAAGTTCGCAAGGCCTCAGAGAGTTGAATCAAATAGGCAAAATTGCTAATCAATAGAAAAGAACACTTTCAATTCAATCAGAGGGTCATTTGCTGTGTCCCACATAATAAGATTTTATAATGAAGAAAAACTGCAGGTACTGGTTACAACAAGTACCAAGGTTTAGAAGAAACGGACACAAATTAGCAAATAGGACCAGATATTGAAACTACATGAAACATAAACTCCAATGCAAAACTTCTAGCAGTAGCACTCCACCAGACATTTAGCACTTGATCTCCTTCAAGCCAGGTGCAAGGTACAAAAAGGTAGGATCAGCTGAACCATCTTTGTAGAACGCAAACACCAGGGCACTGTCGTCACTCATGCTCTCACCAACAAAGCTGCCAGCGCACACACATAGTATCAGTTTCTATTTCAAGGTGTCAAGTATGTAGAAGGAAACCAAAATGCATTCAACTTCAGTAAGAATTAGCTTAGACAACATCATCATAAATTGATATGAAAATGGACATACAATTGAAAGTCCTTGAGCTTTGGCAAAAGGAACTTAGTTGCTGATTCAATGTTCTTTTTAAATGCATCTTGTGCTTCTCCTTCTAGCTTGGGCGTCAGGTTCTTGATGTATTTCTTAATGAAGGCAACAAATTGTTTCTTGTCGAAAGCAGGTTGCTCCTGCAAATAGCAAACCGTTATCTATTCACATATAATTAACATGCATATTAAAATCGACTGAAATTTCCATAACTATGTATACAAACCTGAAGTCTAAAAGTGTCAACAATATCGACAACCTTGACAGCTTGGTCATCCACACCTTCATCTTCACCTCCACCCTCAGCAGAAGGATTTGCCCCAATGTTTACATCAACGGCACCTTGAACAACCCACTGTAATGTAACCAACACATCACATTATCTCTTTTTACATAGACTAGATAGTCCACAAAAATTTGGTTGCTAATATAAGGAAATTTTGGGAGCAATAATTAACTGGAGACCCTACCTTCCCTTGAACTTCCCAAAGCATTCCATTCTCAAGCTCTTTGTAGGGAAATGAGTCTGAGAGAAGCTCATCACCTGCAATATTTTTTTGAAGAGTTTTAAGTTTTCAAGAACAGCACCATACCAAGAAAGGGCCATAAACAAAAATTTTAAAGCCACGGTTACAAACAACAATATGTACAAAGACAAGAGTTACAAACAAGCTATGAATAGTGAATTTTCGCATATCAAGCAGAGACAGCAACTTTAAGGTGCACATAACAATAAATACTTTAATGGATTAAATTATGATTACTGTAACTCAAATAGCCTTCAAGATGTTTCATTGAACCAGAACTATTTTTTATATGACAAGGGAAACCCACAGCCGCTACCCACCCCGTTCCTAATCAATAGCTCCCAAACCACCACACAAGAGAGGTAACCCACACTAGGCAAGCCCGGTACTCAACCCAAAAGGCAAACCTGTTGCTTTTGTTGACAAGAGGTTTCGAACTTGAGACCTCCAACTTTTGGGACCTTGCAAAAGTCATCTTTTTGTGTTTGTTACATAAATTTGCAGTAACCGGATACATCAAACTAGGATTTCCTAAATAACATACGGCACAAGTCTAGCTAAACTAGAAGCAACCAATATTATGGATCCAAATTACTCATGTATGGCTCTTACATACAATATTACATCATAAAGCAAGGTAAAAAACATTGAGATCAAATCCTCTACAAGACTCTGTTAAAATATAAGATCCAGATTAGTAGATCTAGTTCTTAATTCCCAATAAAAAAGAAACAAGAGATAGCGCCGTCTTAATAGTTTAGGGCCTTTATGCAGACCACATAGTCAGTAACATCAGTCACAAATCAACCAGATCGTATTGATAGCTTCAGATCAAACAACAAATAAACAGAAAACTGCGCAAAATTCCATTATCGTAAAACAAAAGCGGAAGCATCAACAAGCGCCAATCATCCAAGAACGATTCGCTAAACAGAGTGCTGAAACAAAACTACTCTAACTTCAATGTTACAACTTTCTACCAAAAATTTAACAAAATATAACAAAGAGTGTGACAGAAACTAGAAAACTGAAGAAGGATAGAAGATTACCGGTGAGGAGATCCTGATAAACCAACATGGTTGAAGAGTAGCCTTTTGCTTTCTCTCTCTAAAAGGGATGATTGATAGGAAGAGAGAGGAAGAAAACGAGGGACCAGTGAAGGCTCGAGAAGGAGGGTTTTGGGTGGTGTACGGCGTCTTTATAGCTGGAGCGCTTGGTAAATTGACCAAATAAACCCGACTTCAATCCGGAATTACGTGATTGCCTATCCCAATTTGAGTAGGGTTCTGAATGCCGCCGCCGTCCGCACCATGTCACAACAGGAGCGAAGGCAATTTTACGCTACTACCCCGCCCACAATCATTTTACGCTACTAACCAGAATCAAAATATGTTCATTCTAATTTATGTGACAGTTTTTTAGGGGACGTTTGGTTACTGAATAAGGATTGAGTTATTCAGGTATAAAATATTGTATAAGCTTTATCGTAGCATTTTTTTGTCAAAGTATAAAATTCAACACACATAATACTATGTTTAGTTAGAAAATTAGAAAATCACATAACTAATACATGTTTAAATTATGAGTCAATCTATGTATTATTTTATACAGGGTAAAAAATGGAATAAATTATACCTGAATAAAAATATAAATTGACAATGTTGCCTTTCACTCTCAATCAAATATACACCACTTCTTTTTAGATAAACATTCAGATCCTCTCTCCATATCCGTAGATCTAGAATGACTCTTCATCTTTCAGGCAAATAGATTGAAAAACTTTCAATATGGCGTTCTTTCTTTGAGGTTAGAAGTTCTGAAACTCAAAATTTGGCTGATCTTGTTTTATTTTCTTCTTTTTCTCCTCCTGTTTTCTCTTTTTGTGTTTTTCCTCTTGTTAATCTGATGAGAGACGAATGAAATTATAGATCTTCTCAGTATTTTCTAGTTAGGTTGATGTTTTAGTACACCCAAATTTGATGTGGGTTTTGTTTTGTTTGTTCGAAAATTGTGCTTTCTGAAAAATGGGTTCATTAAGTTTTGTTGTTTTAGCTTCTAAAACTGCAAAAGATGAACATGTTATTTGCACTTTGACAAAATAATATTAGTATTCTAGCTATTGAAGCCAAACAAAAATAAATATTTTACCCTGTTTTTCAATGTTACTTTTCATTTTTTTTAAATAAAATTGAACATTCTAGTATGAAACAATCTATTACCTTCTTATTATACACAATGTGTTTGCAATAATTAGTTAAGTAACATGATTGATACTTTTTTTCTTTTGGATTCAATTTGATAATGATGCTGCAATTTTTAAATGAAAAATAGGTGTAAATGGATTCTCAGCGATGTTGAATGCTTTATGATCCTCGAGGAGATTGTGATACATTCGTATAATGTCCTTATTTATTTTTATGGCTATTTACATCATGTTATTAAGAAACTAATCTAGAAATAGACGGGTCATTCGATATTGTATGAGTGCTAGAATTCCTAAAATTTTGTCTCATCTAAATGTTCTCATTCGTGACAATGATATTGTATGTATTGACAAGCTTAAGATGGATAGAAATGCCTTTCACATTTTAGCCTCCTTAGCCAAGAATATTGGGGGGTTGACAGATAGTAAAAATATGTCGAGTACTGAAAAGTTAGCAATTTTCTTAAATATTTTGGCTTATCACGAAAAGAACAGGTCTGTCAAAGTTGATTATATTAGATCGGGGTGGAGTGTAAGTCGAGCCTTTAATGAATGTCTAAGAGTTATTCTTAAACTAACTCCAGTGTTACTTGTTAAACCTAATCCGGTGCTCAAAGATGATAGTGATGATTGATGGAAATGGTTTAAGGTAGGTAAATTTCAATCTAACATTTGATTTACTACAACAAACTTGAAATATTATGGTGAAAGTATTTTTATTTTTAATAGTCCTTTAGTATTTAGAATTGAATTTATCTTATAGGGTTGTCTTGGTGCATTGGATAGTACTTACATTTCCATTAGAGTTGAAGCAATACATAAGACAAGATACAGAACACGAAAAAGAGATACATCAACTAATGTCTTGGGGGTTTGTGATAGAAATCTCAACTTTATTTATGTATTACCTGGTTGGGAGGGATCAACCGCTAATGGTCCGTATTGCGAGATGCCGTTCTCCGAAGAAATGGGTTGAAAGTACCTCAAGGTATGCTAAATAATAGGCAGACTGTAACACCCCTAAATATTAACCAAGAGTCGCATGTCAATTTACCATTGCTTAATTACTATAATATGTTTTACTCTCATTTTGGGAACTTGGAATATTGTGATAATTGCTAACTTGCTTAACATAAATTGTGATCGTAATTTAAGGTATTGTATTGGGTAATTTCATAATATTCTAATTAGAATTATGTATAACTTTAAAAAGAGATGAGGGATATACATATAGGTGTATATGTATGCATTTTGGGCAGCACACATTTTTTTTTTTTGGGCAACACCTTCGAAGGACAGTTGCCCAAGTGATAAACATCACTTGTTTGACTATATATTTTCACACCTCCTTTAGTAAATTCATTTTCCTCAAGTCTTAGAACCTTACATATCTAAACAGATTGTTCTTCAAAATCACAAGAGAAAAACTTGGCCCTTTTGACTGGAATTCGAGATACACACTTCTTTTTGGTAAGTGACGAAATATGTTTCTGAGCTGGGTAGTGTTTGGTATTTTATGTATATCTCCTTCTCTAGAACTTATTTTACAGTGAATAAATATGATTTGGAAAGCTAATTCGTAGACCTACAACTCTTATGTTTATGTAAAACTCTGATTTAGCTGTTATGGATTCGAAATATGGGACACAACATAGGAAAATTTCTGTCCAGATTTTGAAATTACAAATCATGTATGAACAACTGTTAGTGTTTTGAATATATATTGTTGTACAAAATATATTTTGCAGTGATTTTTGTTTGTTTGCAACCCTAAGAGATGTATCTACATCTTTCACGAAGGTTATAAAGTCTAGTTTTGTCGTTTTCCTTTTCAAATCTAAGTTGCGACATGAGGTACTAGGCAGGCTAGAATCATTGTTTCGGGAGCATAGTCGTATTTGTACATGCTAAGCTTACTTGTGATGATAATCTCGTTTTACATCAACATTATTGAGTTGCTAGGAATTAAAGAAGTTATTTAATTGTATTTTTAATGTTGTATATACTCATGAACAAGTTGAGGACCTTGAAACGTTGGTTGGTCTACGGTCTGAACTCGCGAAGTTGTGTTGGACTGTTTCTTTGCTAAAGCACCGAGGTTTGTGTATAAACTTGTACTTGCACTCCTTTAACTGCTGGTATATCTGAAAGTTGATCTTGGTACCTTGGTTACCTCTTGCCACTTTGCATTGTCGTGTTAGTATCCTTTAAGACGTTAAAAACGCTTATGTAACTCGCCCACTTGTATGAATTATTTGATCACTTGGTACTCTTGTTGGGACCTTGTCCTTCTTGTGGCTGTGACTTTGTCACTATTGGCATGCCTCTTGATTCAGATCATTTGCCATCTTGACTCTGGATTTTTAGTCCGTCTTAAGAATGGAAGTTGTCCATTTTAAGTACGAACTAGAAAGCCATTTTTAATATGGTTCTTAGTTCTCTTGATTATTGGGCTTTGACCCTTCTTGATACAGGGCATCGGCCCTTCTTGATACTTGTTTGTGCTTGGTGTGACGACATGATGTATATATTGGGCGAGTCTTGTTATTGAATCTCTTGGAAAATGGTGCTATGAGCGTTCTTGACATTTGGACCTCTAAATATCGAACTTGATACTTTAATTATATTGTTTACTTGATTTAATTATTATGTTTCTATAGTGCTTCCCATTTGGACCTCTAACTATCCGATGGCTCCGAACCTATAGTTTTGCACACTAAGCTATATGATTAGCGATAGTTGTTTCTATGGTAGGGAATGATCGAGAGGAGGCATGAAGTAGGCAATTGAAGATGGAGATTTTGAGAGCTTTAAGGAAGATCACCTTTGCATATAGGCATCTATATTTTGTATAAACCTTGGGACTTGTAGATGATCTATGTGTTGTATATTTACACGAAATTTTGAGGACTAATTTGATCATGTCACTATGGGTTGTAATATAAGTATGGCTCTATGTTTTGTTCTTTTGGGGTGTGTAAGCCCAAGTCTTGTAACATATTAAACTTACCACTAATTTAAAATGATTGTGTGAAGCATGAACGACCTAGTTTGGGTACTCGGAAGTTGATAATATTCTTTTTATGTCATTTTTACTAGTGTGAGGACAATATATGCATAAGAATCTCGCAAGTTATTGACTTATATTATTTCGGAAGGGTCGCTACACAGACCCTTGTCTATTTCTACTACATCAAAATAGAATAATATTTAAAGTATTTATATAATTATTTACATTTTTAGGCAAGTAGTATTTGTGCGATGGAGGATATACAAATGGAAATGGTTTTCTGTCTCCCTACCGAGGAAACATATATTGGCTAAAGGATTGGCAGGGTGACAATCCATCACCTCGATGTCGAGAAGAGCTCTTTGATATGAAGCATGCTAGGGCGCGTAATGTTATTGAAAGAGCATTTGGACTATTAAAAGGACATTGGGGAATTCTTAGAAGTCTTTCTTAGTACTCGGTTAAGGTTCACAATAGAATTATTAGTGCATGCTATTTGATACACAATTTTATTCGAAGAGAGATGAAAGTTAGCCCATTAGATATGGAAATGGAATTCCACATGGAGAATCAACATGAACATGACAATATTAATACAATTGAAGCATCTGATGAGTGGACCACTTGGAGGGATGAACTAGATCAGTCTATGTGGAATGAAAGATTGGGAAATCAATCTTTATAATTTTAAACTATGTGGTCACTTTTGGTGTGCTTGTGCACTTTGTTTTTGATTTTCCGCTCACTGTAAAATGGAATAACTTTTATTATTTTGTGAAAACGAATAGTCAATCTTTTGTATATCTCACATTGTTGTTTGTACAGACAAATAGTGAATCTCAATGTATATCTATTATTTTTTAATACAAGTAGTGAATTTGTATATATGTCTTCACATTATCTTTTTCCCAGATCAATCAAGTTTATTACAATTTATTTGGTTATAATTGAAATAATTTACTTGTAAGTTGTAACTTAATATTACTTGTGATTTCATTTATAATTTTACAGATTGAAATGGCTAGTTCTACTGTTGTAACATC